GAAATGCTATTTTCTGGAACTAAAGTTTGCATTATCATAAGTCTTTAATTCAAGTTTACAGAAAAACATTAACAAGGAAGGAATTCAAAATCATAATAAGAATTTTGTGGTCACTTTATCTGAATAAGCCTAGCTATATTGTCTTCTACTGTCCCAGTGGCACAGATGGGCCAGTCTCCCTGTGGGTCCCTGTGTGAACAATACTCAGTTAGGATCACAGATGGGGGGAACAGCAGGCAGACAGGCCTGTCTGACAAGGCACCAGTGTGCAGGACTCCTCCGGACTCCTTGGCAAACAGTTTTGGTAGCAGGCTCAAGGCCCAACGAGCCTATGGCCAAGCCCTTTGGGAAACAGAGTCATTTCTAGGACTGAAGCCGGGACCACCGTAGGTGGATCTGCCTCTTCGAGACAGGTCTGCACTCTTAAAATGACCCTTGCTGGTCCATTTTACTTGAATTCCAAGGCTCCCATGAAGAGACTTTTATCCATGAATGGGTAAAGAATTCTTCTTATCGTGAGGGGATACAGGAGGGTGACCACCTATTCCACCATCTTGCTAATTTCCAAAAAATCCGTTCCTTTTTTAAATTCTTTTTTTGTCTTTGGTTTTCTTTCCTTCCCATGCCCTTTTGTTTTTCCCCACTTCAATCAGCTGGTCAATCTACTCTTTGCTTTTCTGTTTGGGGAGTCTGTATTGACATACCCTCAAGCATACTGACACTTTGCTCTATTAGGTCCAATTTACTGATGAGCTCATTATTTTTGTTACAATGTTTTTGATTTCTAGCATTTACTTTTGACTTTTTACTTAGAGTTTCCATTTCTGTGCTGACATTATCTATTATTTTTTTTTATGTTGTTAACTTTTCTCAAAGAGTCCTTAGCATATTGACGGTTACTTTAGGTGCTGAATCTGATAATTCCAAAAGCTCTGCCATGTCTGAGTCTGACTCTGATGCTTGCTTTGTCTCTTCTGACTGTTTTCTTCTTGCCTTTCATCATGGCTTTTAATTTTTTGTTGAGAGCCAGACATGATGTATCAGGCACAAGAACTGAGTTAAGTAGATTTTTAGTGTGAAATTTTATGTTTATCTGTCTAGAAGTTAGGCTGTGTTTAATGTTTGCTGTAGCTGTGGGTGTCAAAGGCCTCAGTATTTTGTAGTATCCTCATGTTTGTCTTCTCTATGGTCTTTGGGTTTCCCCAGAAACTCTTCATTAAATAAGTGTGTCTTGTAGCTTACTCATTTGTAATTTACTGTTATCGTACTAGATATCTCTTGATGTGGTGGCAGAGTATTGGGAAGAGAAAGAATCCTTTAATCTTAAGACTGAATTTGAGGCTTTTGTGGTTTTCATAGTGAGCCTAAGTCTCTGGGCTGTGACCTCCAGAAGTTATTCTTGGTCTTTTTTTTTTTGAGACAGAGTCTCGCTTTCTTGCCCAGGTTAGAGTGAGTGTCATGGCGTCAGCCTAGCTCACAGCAACCTCAAACTCCTGGGCTCAAGCAATCCTCCTGCCTCAGCCTCCCGAGTAGCTGGGACTACAGGCATGCACCACCATGCCCGGCTAATTTTTTCTATATATATATATATTAGTTGGCCAATTAATTTCTTTCTATTTATAGTAGAGATGGGGGTCTCACTCTTGCTCAGGCTGGTTTCAAACTCCTGACCTCGAGCAATCTGCCGCCTTGGCCTCCCAGAGTGCTAGGATTACAGGTGTGAGCCACTGCGCCTGGCCTTTCTTGGTCTTTTTTGTCTTTTCTTTATGTGAGACAGGAAGATTAGAGGGGTTGACTTATCTAATTGGGCTTCTTCCTAAAGTTTGGTAGGGAGACTCTGGTGAAGATGTTTCTCTCACAGGCAGGCTTTTGATAAAGAGAATAGGCCACTCTGGAATATACTTCAAGATGGTTGCTTTCTCTCTCCCCATGCCCAAAACATAAGAGGATTTTTTTTTCTTTTACTATCTTCTTCACCTTGAGAACATGGTGGGGCTTCTGGATGTAAGAGTCATGAAAGTTTGTGAGTTCCCTTAAAACTGGGCCCCCGGAAGTTTTTAACTCTCAAGTTCTCACACTCCAACTCCAGCAATTAGTCAATTAATATTTAAGATTCTGCTCCAATGGATTCTGCTCCCAGTAAACTACAATTTTCTGTCTTCTCCTGTCTCTCCAGTTTTGGGAATATCAGTTTGCCCTGTGATCTCTGTTGTATCTAAGAAGAGTTATTGATTTTCAGTTTGTTCAATTCTTTTTTTGTGAGGATAAGAGTGACGACTACAAGCTCTTTACTCATCTAGAAATCCTATTCTTCTTTGTTGTTTTGCACAACCCTTACAAAATATAATATAAAAACCATTCTTAGCTTGTAGACCATACAAAAACAGGCTGCAGTTCGAATTTGGCTGTAGATCATAGTTTTCCAGCCCCTGGTTTAGATTATTTATATTTAATTGTTAGTATGGTTAGATTGAGGGTTGTGATTTTATTATTTATTTTTTATTTGTCCTCTCTGCTTTTCATTCCTCTCTTCCTCCTTCCTTACCCTATTTTGAATTATGTGACTACTTTCACTATCTCATTTTCATTTCTCTATTGACATGTTGACTATAATTCTTTGTATCCTTTATAGACCTAAATATATATATATATATAGTTTACATACACATATATGTATATATATGGATGTAGATATACATAAGTGTGTATAAATAGATATTTAGATGGACAGATGTAGGTATACATGTGTGTGTGTATAACCTACTTCAAGTTGATATTTTAACACTCCATTTATTTAATAAAATAGAGAAGCCTTATAACCATATAGGTCCTTTTACTCTCTCCATTAGATTATAGTTGCCATATGTATTACATGCACATTCATTGAAATCTACTCCAAACAATGGCATCATTTTTGTTTTCAACAGTCATATATATTTTAAACTTAAGATGAAAAATTAAACTATTTACTCATATATTTATTATTTCTTTTATTCTTCCCTCATCCTTCAAGTTCCAGGTTTTCTTCTATTGTCATTTCCCTTTAGACTGAAGAGATCTCTTTGTAATTTCTTTTGGAGCTAACAACAAATTTTATCACTCCACTTTATAATATATTAATTTTATTTTAATTTTTGAAATATATTTTAACTGGATATAGAATTATGAGTTGACAGCTCTTTTCTATCAGGACTTTAAAGATATTATCTTCTGACCCCATGGTTTATTTCTTTTTTTGAGACAGAGTCTCACTCTTGTTGCCCCTGCTAGAGTGCCGTGGCATCAGCCTAGCTCACAGCAACCTCAAACTCCTGGGCTCAAGCAATCCTACTGCCTCAGCCTCCTGAATAGCTGGGACTATAGGCATGCGTCACCATGCCTGGCTAATTTTTTCTGTATACTTTTAGTTGGTCAATTACTATCTTTTCTATTTTTAGTAGAGATGAGGTCTCCCTTTTGCTCAAGCTGGTCTCCAACTCCTGAGCTTAAACGATCCACGCACCTCGACCTCCCAGAGTGCTAGGATTACAGATGTGAGCCACCACGCCCAGCCTGACTCCATAGTTTCTGATGAGAAAATTACATTTTTTTAATTGCTCATATCAATACTATTTTAATATTATTCTTATTTGATAATGACAATATTTGGATACCCTGTAGGTTGATTCTACTGTCTATTTTCTTTTTGGTCATGTTCTCATGTCCTTGGTTTACTTGATAATTTATTTAAATGCAAGGCCTTTGAATAAGACTTTTTGTAGCTTTGGATCATACTCTTTATGATACAGAGTGTTGACTGACTGTACTAATCCAATCAGAGACCAGATTAACTCTTGGCTAGACCATAGTATGTTAGGAAGCCCCCCCCCCCAACTCCTAGGTTTTAGCCACACACAGATACCAACTAAAAACATGTAATGTTCATCAGGGTTCCTCCACCCAGCACATTCTAAACTCTATCTTCTATCTACAGAGCATCATAATACTACTGGAATTCTCTGCTTTTCATGGGATTTCTGCTTGATTTTAGCCTCCTAGCTTCATAATTCAGCTAACATACACTGTTGTCATAGGTATTTGTATACCTCTTCATTCACTCTAATGATGTGGCCTCCCTGTGTCCTAATTTTTGTCTCTTTAGGCTCATAGGTCTATTAAAATATTGTGCTGGTTTCTTATCATCCTACTAGATTAGATATTCTTTGCCTGAACTCTTTGTCCAAATTCTCAGCTTCTTGCCAATGTCCACAATCAGCAAATGTCCTCAGAGAAAAGGTGGCTACAAAAAGTTTCCTCTTCTCTCTAGGTTTTGCCTTTCTCCAAGGGTTTGGACTTTAAATTCCTAGTTGCCTAAACAACTCTCTGTTGCCTTTAAACAAATCTTATAAAATTTTATTCAGCTCATCTAGTTGTTCTCAATGGGAGCATAGAACTACCATAAGCTACTCCATTGTAGCTGGAAGTAGAAGTCTTATTCTCTTATTTTACTTGCTCAGTCCTTTGGTTTCCAATTCCAGTTTTGTTCCCTGGTATTTAATATCGAACTCTGCCCACTTCTTTGAATTTTGCTAAACAGCTTAAAGGAGATATTACACATGCATATACTTTCAGGTGTACTTTAGTTACACTCATTGATGTCTATGAGAAGAGAGACAAAAGAATGCAGGAACACAAGGTCAGATCAGCTTTGCACGGTTAGGACTGCCTCTTAGTTGCTACCCAATCTAATACAGAGTCTCACTTTTAGGTTCTGAACCTTTTCAATGTGTTTTTTCTTCAGTACTTTATGAACACATGAAAAGTCATATCACAAAATATCATTATAATATTTGTGCCCTTATTATAAAAGTTGGAACTATCCTTTGTATTTCTTTTATATGTCCAATAATTCTAAGAATGATATGCACATATAAAGGTTACTGGATAAATAATTATTAATTGACTGAAAATTATGCTGTTGAATTTTGATGTTAAAGTCTAATGTACAAGATTATATTTACCCAGCATAGTCTTCAGTGATCCCAGCAAACTTCCCTGGATCACAGTGTATAAAAAGTATAAGCCCAAGCAGTGCAATTGATACAACAGACGTAACTATTATAAATATCATAAAGGCTCTATAAGACATTTTTAATTTGGAAATAATGACACCTCCCAGAAGCTTGCCGAGTGCACTTCCTGGAAGTAAAATAAGTCCTAAAAGAAAAGAAAAAGAGAAAAACACAGTTAGAAAATAATCAGCTAATAGTACAGATAATTCATATTGATGCAATCCCCTCGGCTCTAAACATATAGCAAACATAGATTTAAATTGAGAGACAAAGAGAAAGCTTAAAGCCGTGATAAATATCTCAATAAACTTGAACCTTAAGAGAAACACAAACATGTGAATAAGGCTGAAGCCATATGCCTACTTAACTTTAGGGCAGTGATAGTGAAGTTTTGCTCTTATGTAGTAATCACATCTTTAAAAGAGCCAGGGACTTAATCCATGCAAAACACAAAATAGGAGCTGTCTTATAGAGAGCTATTATTAGCAAGCTGATCGGACTTATACCTTACCACAGAAGGCATGATCATAGTGACCAGAGTTCACAGAGATTTGTTAACAAGAATTGAACCAAGCCACTCATTGGTTCTGTGAATAGGTGTGCAATATTAACAAACTCACAACAAAGCAGGACTCCAGACTAGCCATTATAAGATTGCTTTCCAGTCAAACATAAGTAATTAAAAATAGGCAAAGCAAAGAAATAGGAGGAGGAGGAGGGAAAGAAGAAGAAATATATTAGAAAATAACCAGAATTCATATATTAATGCAATCCTCTCTTCCCTAAATATATAGCAATGGTAGATTTAAATATGAGTATAGAAAGAAAAATATGACAAAAACAAAAGGCTCCATTAGTACTAGTTTAATTTATACCATAGAAGCATCTAAAGAAAACTTGAAAATAAGCAATTTTAGAATACTCAAAAAGATAAATGACACAAAAATAAAATGTTCCAGAAAAATAAAAATAGGAAGGAATAAAACAAGTGGATGAAAAAAGAACAAATAAGAAACCCAGATATTAAAAGATATAATTGTTAAAATAAAAACTAGAATCTCAGTATAATCTTCAGACTAGAGGCAATTGTAAGTAAATTGATGAATTGGAAATAAGCACTGCATTATTCACAGTGGGTAATTAAAAAAAAAAGATAGAAAAGGAATGAAAGAATAGTAACCAAAATGAGTAGTTAAAAGACAAATAAAAGTATAGTGGAGAAACCTGGCAAACACTCCCCCAGCCAGGTGAGCAAGGTCAAATTCAAAAGTAGTCAGTCACATGGATAGTATATCCCCTTGACAGGAAAATGGCATTTTACCTCTGTGGTCTTCTTTTCAAAACCTATAACCCCAGGCTAATCATGACAAAACATCAGAAAATTTTGAGTAGAGGAGCATCCTACAAGATACCTGCCCAACAGTCCTCAAAATATTGATGACTAGCACTTATTAAAACAAGGAAAGATTGAGAAATTGTCATAGCCAAGAGGAGCCAAAGGAGACATGACAAGTAAATATGTTTTACAGAATGAGATTCTGGAACATAATAAGAAAATTAGGTAAAAATTGAGAAAATTTCAATAAACTATTTAAGTAGTAATAATGTGTTAATAATGGTTTATTAACTGTAACAAATTTACCATCCTAAAGTAAGATGTTAATAAAAGGGGGAACTATTAGAATTCTAGAGGAAAACGTTGGAAATACTCTTCTAGACATTGGCCTAGGCAAAGAATTTATAAAGAAGACCTCAAAGGCAATCACAGCAGCAACAAAAATAAACAGATGGGACCTGATCAAATTGAAAAAGCTTCTGCACAGCTAAAGAAACTGTCAAAAGTGCAAACAGACAACCCACACAATGGGAGAAAATTTTCTCAAGCTATATATCTGATAAAGAGCTGATAACTGGAATCTTTTTAGAACTCAGGAAAATAAGCCAGAAAAAATCAAACAACCCCATCAAAAAATGGGAAAAGGACATGAACAGAAACTTTCCAAAAGAAGATAGAATAATGGCCAACAAACATATGAAAAAATACTCAACATCTTTAATCATCAGGGAAACGCAAATCAAAACCACAATGAGATATCACTTAACTCCAGTGAGAATAGCCTTTATCAAAAAGTCCCCAAACAATAAATGCTGGCGTGGATGCAGAGAGACAGGAACACTCCTACATTGCTGGTGGGACTGCAAACTAGTTCAACCTCTGTGGAAGGCAATATGGAGATATCTCAAAGTGATACAAGTGGATCTACCATTTGATCCAGCAATCCCACTACTGGGCATCTACCCAAAAGATCCAATGACACTCTACAAAAAAGACACCTGCATTCGAATGTTTACAGCAGCACAATTCACAATTGCAAAGCTGTGGAAGCAACCCAAGTGCCCATCAAATCATGAGTGGATTAATGAAATGTGGTATATGTATACCATGGAGTACTATTCAGCTTTAAGAAACAATGGTGATATAGCACCTCTTGTATATTCCTGGATAGAGCTGGAACCCATTCTACTGAGTGAAGTATCTCAGGAATGGAAAAACAAGCATCACATCTACTCACCAGCAAATTGGTATTAACGGATCAACACCTAAGTGGACATATAGGAATAACATTTATTGAGTGTCGGGCAGGTGGGAGGGGGGAGGAGGGGATGGGTATATACAAACATAACAAGTAAGATGTGCAATGTTTGGGGAATGGACACACTTGAAGCTCTGATTCAAGAGGGGAGGGGGGGCATGGGCAATATACATAACCTTAACACTTGTACCCCCATAATATACTAAAATAAAAAAAAAATTTTTTAAAAAAGAACCTCTACCATAAAAAAAGGGGGGGGGGAAGAATTGGGTTTACAGTATATGGCAACTCTCTGTACTATCTTCAGAATATTTCTGTAAACCTAAAACTATTAAAAAAATAAAGTTGTTTGCTAAAAAAAAGATAATAAAAATAGAATAAGAGGTCCATAAAACGTTTTACAGTAGTTGTGAAAAATACAATGAAATGAATACCAGAAAAACAATATCTGAAAACTTATAGCTGAGAATGAGAAATTTACATAATTAATGAAATATTAGCCCTGGGAATAAATGTACACTCCAACTACTACTGAAAATATTTTTAAAATTCATTTTTCCAGATAAGAAAACAAGGTAGGAAAACTCCATGACATCAAGAATAAAGCAAAAATTGTAAAAGCTGCTAGAAAACATATTACTTGCAAAAGAATGATAATTACACTGATAGTTTTTTTAAAACATAAAATTAATAACCTAGACCAAACATGCACACACACACAGATACATACACAAACAAAATTCTGAGGAATGAGGATAGTGAACTGTCATTGGATAGTTAAAATCTCCTAAAGAAATGAGGGAGGAAAGTATGAATAAAAAAATGAGTCCATTGAGAGAAGACAGAATAGTAGGGGGGAAAAGAAGCAAAATAAAAGGCCAGTAAAAAAAATACAAGAAAGAAGTTAAAATTATTTAAATATTTTAAAATTCACAATAATGATAAATGGATAAAACAACTATTTTAAGAGCATAATTAAATTGGGTATTTTTTACAATGGAAAACTTAAAAATAAAGCAGAGAAAAAATATAGACCACAAAAATGTAATTCACGAACACGTGTGTATATATATATAAAAACATCGTATAAAATAAATGATGTAAAAACTGTCCAGATCAAGGAGATAATTTAAAATCCATAAATAGACTATTTTATTTCAGTTTTTTCAGAAATAGAGACTTATCTTATACTATTAAAAATATAGAAAATTAATAGTAGATTTGAACAATTAGTTGTTTTAAAAGAGAAACAAAAACATATATTTAGAAATCAAAAATCTCTTCTCAATTCATGGCTTAAAGAAAAATATGATTATGAAAATTAAAAATTTTTAGAACTGAATAAAAATTAAAATTATATCTAAGTGTGTTGGGTGCTAATAAAAAAAATCTATAAATAATAATACCTACATTATAAAGTTGTTAGGGGAACTAAATTAATTAATACTTAAATGCTTAGAACAGTATCTGGGCACAGAGTAAACATATCAGTGTTTGTTAAAAGGCAGACATTTATAAACAGATATATTTATCAGAAAGTAAAAAAGTACAAATAGGAGACAATATTTTTGAAGGTAATTTGGCAACTGGAACTAAGTCAGTAGACTTCAGAAGCATGAACAATAAGCCTGCAGCTAAGTAAGTCAAGATGAAACAAACCACATTTTAACCTAGAATCTCAGACACTAAGAGCACTAGGTATCACTGAAGCAAAGATGAGGTAGTGTTAAAACAAGAAGATTGGATGGCAGTCTACATAAAATGTTTGATCCCCAATTCTTATGTCCACCCACATGCTATATGCTTGCTCCTATTCACCGCAGCAGAAGACCCTAGGTTTATTCAGAGTTTGAACCAGACTGTAGGTTTGGGAAAACAATGCACATTTGTGAGCAGAAAATTGGGAACTCTAGAATTCTTACCCAACTAAGCTAAGAAAATATTGTCTGTTAAGAGTTATTGCTTCAGGCAGAAGACTGTAGGAATTCCAAATGAGAAAACTGTCTCAAGAGAAAAGATATAAAAAGACTGGACATTGGGATTCAACAATTTAATATTAATAGCTGAGTCCCTGGAAAACCACCCTACAAAGAGACAAGAGTTGAAACAATGCACAGAACTTTTAATCAACTTTTAATGTAAATAAAATTTTAAATTTAAATTTTAAAATTTAAAATCAACTTTTAATGTAAATATATTATGGTTTGCCTAAAAGTACACAAATCCTAATTGTATACACTGATGAATTTTCAAAGAGAACATACCTATACAACCACCACTCAGATCAAAAATCAAACATTACCAGAAACTAAGAGGCTCTTTCATGAACTCAGGATTTTATATTTTTTAAAAAGAGGGGGAATCATTAAATACGCAAACATGTGGCTTCTTTCCTTCAAGATGTTTGAAAAATTCACCCATCTTTCATATAAAAAACATAAACTGTGTCTACTTATTGCTAAATGGTATTCCAGTAATGCATATGCCCCAACTTACTCACTGTGATGCTGTGATTTGTGCCGCTACTATAAAAATTCATGTACATATTGTT